CTCGTGGGGGCCAGAGACAGAAGTAAGTGCAAGACTGGGGTGGTTCCGCAGTCTTGGTGAGGAAGGAAGCAACTCAAGTGGCAGTTTGGATTGAGGAGCAGTTAGGTTGGAAGCTGGGGAAACTTTCCAACCTTGAGTTCGTGTCTTCGCGAGTAGTTGATGGTTGGTTCGGGGAAACCAGGTCGGAGAGCCTTCGACAGGTGCGAGTTTAGTCGGGATATAAGGCTGCGGGGTAGTAGCAGCATTCCCCAGCAGCGAGTCAGTGAGGGAAGTGATGTAAGACTGCGGGTAAGCCGTAGCATTCATTAGCAACTTAGTTAGCGGAGTGTGCGGCGGCTGGAGGAGACTCCAAAAATGGTGGCGGCTGGAGAATGAATCTAGGTTTAGGGTTTGAATGAGAGGAGGTGACAGGTTTATGCCCGTCTATTTTCAAACTTAACTCATAGTTACACTTCCAAGCCTCCTTCTCAATTCTTTTCAACTTAAATCCATAATTTACCAATCAACCCTCAACCTCCAGAGTTCTTTACAAAACCACCCCGAAAAATTACACTTTACCCCCCACCCCCAATCCATAATTATGACATCTAACTCCCGCAACCAACACCCTGCTAAATTATTATGGATTTAGGGCTACAATAAAATAATATATAAAAATATATATAATTTACATCTCGGGGTTTAGGTTTATTATTTATTTACTTATTTTATTTATTTTCAAACGGAATGTTACACTCTACCACACCATACTCTTATTCTAAGTTAGTAAGGTCATACAGAGGTTGATAATGGTCATTGAAAAGGACTAAAGCCTTTAAAAAGTCTATATGGTCAATAAAGTTCTATAAGAACCGACACATGGAACATTTATGTGAAGTTCAAGTTTTTGCTACAAGATCCATTGTTCTTAAATCTGTTTCTTACATCGTTTTATTTCAATTAATGGACCAACATCTATTTCATTAATAATAACTTTAATTAGAGACATTAGGTTCACATTGTAAATATATTTCGATAAAAATGTAATAACAATATACAACTTACCGTACTCATCTTTTGAATCAAGTTCAATGGTTGGTCCATGTTGTAGGTTTAAACATGGTGTTTTCTTTTCTACAAGTCACTTCATTTCAGCTGATGTGGTATGACTTGAGGTCGACACTAAGAATGCAGACCAAAAATGTGTTTTCTTGAGGGAAGATGGTAAATGTAGGTTAGTGACGTAATATGAAAGTTATAAGCATATTTATTGAGACCTTTGACGACAATAAGTTGGCTTGCAGAAGGATATGTGGAAAAACTGATTTTCCCCAATGTAGGAGGGCATACGAGGGGCTTTCTAACAAAGTCTATGCGACGGGAACTAAGACATGAATCAAATCTATTTGCTTTTGAAACCATAAGAATGTCTGTCATCAATTTATCAAAACTTGGACTATACGAGCAAACTAAGGTAAACATCATGGAGCATTTCTCTAATATACTCTAATCAAATAACATAAACATCATGGAGCATTTCTCTAATATACTCTAATCAAATAACATAAGGGCAACAAAGCAAAACCATTAAAGATATTTGCAAAAAAAAAAAAAAAAAATCAAATATGGACCAAATAATGCGAATAATGATACACGATAAGGACCGAATTTGTAAAATCAGTCTTTTAAATATATAAAGTTATATGTAAATTTTATCTTGTACGGTACATGCTGCATAGTGCATACTCCATTTATTTACACAAACACTACCAGTTTTAGGGTTTGGAATTTTCGCATCTCCATCGATGGCAGAAGTGATGGACACGCCGGTCGATGCAGTGGAACGTCGTAGTAGCCGAGAGCGCAAAGATGAAGACGGAGAAGGCAATGACGACGGCGAAGACAATAACAAGTCCGCCGGAATCGAGAACCCAGATGCTGCTTCTTCTCCACCACCGCCACTGCCTCCTTCACGCCGCAATGACCGTGATTCCAGAGAGAGAAGAAACGATGAAAGGGATCGGGACACTGACCGTCCACCTAATCGTCGTTCCGATTACTATGAACACCGTAATCGCTCTCCTCCTGGGCCACCTCCCAGGGATTATAAGCGTCGTGCTGCTAGCCCTAACTCTCCTCCGCCTCCCTATCGGGACCGACGTGGTGGCGGTCACTCCCCTCCACCCCGGAGGTCACCTCCATTTCCTCCTTTTAAGCGGTCTCGTAGGGATGACGGTGGTTACGATGGTCGCCGTGGAAGTCCTCGCGGAGGTTTCGGACCTGGCGATAGAAGGTCCGTAAATTGTTTCCTTGTTTTTTCACTTGTTTTACTGCATTTTTTTGGAAGCTGTTATCATAGGATGCATATTATCACCATATATGATTCTGATTTTAGTCAGTCAGCCAGGACTTATCCTTTCCTATAAATTGGATGATTAGGCTATATGTTAATTTCTGGAGGCTTGCTAATTGCTTTTATTATGCTCCCTCTTAACATTTAGTAAAGTTTTGTAATATCTATTATGTTTCTGCTAGTAGTGCTTTTTCCAGGTCTGAGCTTATTTTGGGGATATTTTGGCCTTGTCATGTATCTCACTCTTTTCCCCACATGATTTAAGTAGTGTTTGCAACAATTTGTGAAGAGATGCAGCAGTTTGATGCAGGGGGTTATGGATAAATTGATTGTGAGCGAGAGTATCACCCACCCTTTCAAAATAATTGATAGTGAGTGTGAGTGAGAGTATTTCTCGATCTTTTCTAAATACCTGATTGTGAGCGAGAGTATCACTCCATCCATTCTAAATAATTGATTGCAAGCTAAAGTAATACTCCATCCGTTCTAAATTACAGGAGCACTTTCATGGTATGAACAATATAATACACAGGAAAGTGCTCTTATAATTTGGAAGGGGGGAGTATTAATTGGAGGTGAGGATAGAAGCTGAAAAAGGAGGCACTGATGATGTTTAGTAATGGGGAGACATGTCCTCACTTGAAATATGAAGCAGATTCCCAGTGTTGAGTTCTTGATTGGATTGAATATGTCTCCAATTTAAAGTATGGAATGCTACACTCCAGACCAATTACAAATACCTTAAACCACTGGATATTAAAATTTTAGTAGCTCTAAGGTGCTTATTTTCCCCATTAACTGCTGTTTGGATAAAGTGTTGTTTTGGATAAATAATGTAAAAAATGTTTGAGAAAAAGATGGCACCTTTGGGAAAATTGAAGGAAAAGTAAAGGAGGGTAAATTTGTAAAAAGTTAACTCTTTTCCTCTTAAAAGAGAAGTATAGAATTCCACCATGCTTTATGATAGTATAGCTTCCAATATTGGCAGGTTGAATCATATATTTTGAAAGGCATGTGGTCTGTTGTGGTCATGTGACTCGACTCCCACATAAGCTTTTTAGTGAAAAAGTAGCAAAAGTACATTTCTTTCTTCTGTAAGTGCATTGCTTTCTATTTGGGATGCAAATTGCAATAAACAAAATGACTGTATCATTATCTGGGAAAACTTATTTAACTGAAACACCTATTTTCGTAGTTGTTGTTTGGAAATCCTAGAAAATTCTTTTGGCCTAGACGATCTACCATAGTTTGAACATGCTAGTTTCTTTTTGAGCATCTGATTAGTATTCAACTTATTTATCAGCAAGGTCATGTGGTCAAACACATTTGAGAAAATATGAAAATATTAGATTACTAGGTTATATCTACTTGATCTTCCCAGTGGTCAAAATTAGTTATAAGACAGTTGCTTTCAGTGACTTATAGCATTTTACTAATCAAACTTTGTTCAGACCACATCTATAGTAAAAATACTGGTCAGTACTAACTTCAGTATTTCACTTTTGTGAGACGAGATAAAACGAATTCTTCTTATCTGTGAAAGCACACACACATAACTATATATGTTGTATATAATCATATGAAATGCATTTTAGCTTAAAGACACAGTTGCTTGAAAATCTTTGTTTGGTTCACTCAATATTGTTTATTGTTGATACAGGTTTGGGTATGAGTATCCTGGTGGCTATGAGCGTGATATGGGCGGCAGGCCAGGCTATCCTGATGATAGGCCCCGTGGTAGGTATGGTGGGCGCTCATCTGGTGGGTACCAAGGTGGTCCATCTGGTAAGCACCAATTTTGTTCATCAGCTCCTATCAGAATTATTAAAATATAACTAAGCTTGATGTTTTGCTGTTAGTATGTTAGTTTTCACTATAATGGGTACTTTGTTTATGTAAATACGCTAACTTTAAATCAATATAATAATGAAATTCCATCCTGTTCTTATTTTTCATGGAGTTGTTGATTGTGAAAATGTGTACTCACTACATACAAGTTCATATTGTATGGAATTCAGCATGCAATTTGTTTAGATAATTTCGTCTTTTATTTTTAAGTTTTATCAGCATTTTTCTGCTTTTGCAGATTGGGATTCGGCTCGTGGGGGTTACAATGATCATGGCAATACACATAGGTGAGCATCATAGAATGGAATGAAAAATTGCTATATAACCCACTTTTATCTATGTAACTTTTAGTGACGCAAATGTTTTTTTTTAGTTTTATTTTTATTTTTTTATTTTTTATAAGTTTTATGATTGTGATTAAATTAAATTTTATTTTCTAAAATGATTTGAAAAAAATAGATTTTTGTTATAACCTTATTTGGGTTTTAGCCTGCTTTTACTATGTTTGAACTTTACTTTAAAGTTAAAACTGTACGTTTTATTTACATATAATATAAAAAGTTCATATGAAAATTCATTCTATTGGCATAGATTAATCAAAGTTGATCAAATATAATAGCTCAACTAAACATGTAGTTTCTTTTTGGGGAGAGGTTAAGTTAGATGACAACATTTAAGTTAAATACCGCAGTATTATACGTAATGTTGACATAAACTAAAATAATACATTTTGACTCTGTTTTGAAGCTATAGAATCACTAGATTGGGACATACACTTGTAAAATGTTTTAAGACATAACTAATAATACAGTTTTTGGCTGTTAGAAGATATTATAGTTTAAAGTTTTTGACAAATATACCCTCTTCAGCATGCTTTCTTACTACTTGCATGTGAATTTGACCTTTCAATTTGACATTTCAGAGAAGGATTGATGTCTTATAAGCAGTTTATTCAGGAGCTTGAAGATGATGTTCTGCCATCAGAAGCTGAACGCAGGTATAATAAGTGTACTCATATTAAAGTACATTGCCTTTTCTTGTGCATTAGGTTGTTGGTTGTTGAAGACTTATTTTTCTGTAGGTATCAAGAATACAAATCAGAATATATATCAACTCAGAAACAGGCTTATTTTGATGCTCATAAAGGCGAAGATTGGTATTTTTTTGCTTCTTTTCTCTCTTTCTTCAAATTTTCATTAATTTTAGCCCTTTCCGTTCTGATGCTTGTGTTTATATGTAGGTTGAAAGACAAATATCACCCCACAAATTTGCTTGCTGTTATTGAAAGGTGCGCCTTTTTGTATTAGAAGAAGCTCATTGTAACAAATTAAAGGATCTTTATTCTTGTAAATCAATTTGGTGGTGTTTGATATGATGAAATCAGGGAAGGAATGGAATTATTCATTCCATAGCTATCAAAAAGATCTGTTTTTTTTGACCGATGGAATGGAATGGACCATTCTTGAAGGAATGGGATTCCTTCCATTTTGTTAATTTCATTCCATAGTCATGGGATATATTTTTTTTCATTCCGTCATGGAATGGAATGAAAATCAGTATAACCGATTTTTATGACACAATATTATTATATTACATTTTAATTTTTGAAAATAACGAAAAAATATTATATGGGGTTTAATGAGTTTTATTATGTTTAATTTTCTTTAAATAAAATTACTAAAGTTAAAATGTCGAGTATCTCAACAAATGCTAGCGTACATCTTATTAAATATAACAACTCATTCCATATGTTTTTTTTTTTTTCTCTTTAATAATTATTTGCAAGCGTTTCCTTTTCCAGGAGAAATGAATCTGCTCGAAAGCTAGCCAAGGAATTTATACTCGACTTACAAAACGGCTCCTTGGATTTGTAAGAAAACCCACCATCTTACCTCCTTCAAATTGTCTCTTTTACCCTTCAAACAATAAAACCACTAACATCTCATTAAAATCAAACAGAGGACCCGGTGTCACCGCTTCATCTTCAAACAAAACTGGTCAAACAAGCAACCCCAATTCCGAAGACGAACAAGATCCGGGCGGCAAAAGAAAGCGGCATGGGCGGAAAGATTCCGACCCATTCTCACCAAAAGCCCACCCAATCAGCTCCGAGCCCAGAAGAATTCAAGCCGATGTTGAACAAGCCCTAGCCCTCGTGAAAAAACTCGATTTGGAAAAAGGAATCGAAGATAACATATTATCAAGAGGCGATTCCGATCGATCACACAGAGATAGATCTCACGGCGGTGGTTCCGGTGGTCCGGTGGTGATCGTACGTGGTGCAGCCGCCGTGAAAGGTCTTGAGGGTGTTGAGTTACTTGACACACTCATTACTTATCTTTGGCGGATTCATGGTTTGGATTATTATGGTATGACTGAGAAAAGTGAACCCAAGGGATTCCGACATGTTCGGCCGGAATCGAAGAATTCCGATGCGAAAACGAACGGAATGGAATGGGAGAAGAAGCTGGAAACACGTTGGGGGGAGAGATTGAAGGGTCAGGATCCGTTGGAGGTGATGACTGCAAAGGAAAAGCTTGATGCTGTTGCAGCTGAGTCGTTGGATCCGTATGTGAGAAAAATTAGGGATGAAAAATACGGGTGGAAATACGGGTGTGGGGCTAAGGGTTGCACGAAGCTGTTTCATGCTGCTGAGTTTGTTCATAAACATTTGAAGCTGAAGCATCCGGAACTTGTGATGGAAGTGACTGCTAAAGTTCGTGAAGATATATATTTCCAGAATTATATGAAGTAAGTAGTTTTTTTGAAGATTTTTTTTTTGATATTTGTATCCTTTTTGGAATGTTGTGGTGATGAAAGTGTTTGAAATTTACAGTGATGAAGATGCACCTGGTGGGATACCTATTATGCAGCCTTCTCAACCGGTATGCTTTTTATTTATACTATACTGCCATGTTTATTAATATATTTGCTAGAAGGTTGGAATCTGATTGAAAGGAATCATAATCTGTTACACTTTTGGTTCAAAAGAAATGGAGTGGAATTCAATAAATAAAAATTACAAATATTATTTAGATTTGACAAAATTTTGTTGGGCAAATGTTAGTAAACCTAAAATATTTATACAGTTTTTTAAAAAGCCACTAGGGTCTGGGTTTTATACGTTTTAAATTAAGCCAAATATCTGGGGTTCTTCATCTTTGCGGTAACTGGTTATTTTGATTAGGTAGAGAGTAAATAAAATAAAATTGTTTCTTATGGGAAAATTTGGACCATAGTTGCTTTCCTGAAAAACCAGCTAAAACCTCTCAGACATTATCTCTTATATGTTTATAGTAAACATGTCTAACTTGATTTTTCTTTTCTTTTGTTTTTATTTATCTTATAAGTTAATAAGTGTATGTATTATAACTTTTTTTTATTGGGGTCTTTTAATTAATGGTTAATTGCAAGAAATAGCGACTTAATTTTGTTTATTTGTTTATTATAGCATCCTACATTCATTTATTCCTGTTACAGCTTTGTAATTGAAAAATCTACCCGATTATAGCAATGTTATCCAAAAACAAAGCAATTTTCACTGCTACAATTGAATAGTCTTTTCAAATACAATGCTATAATTGGGTAGAATTCTCAACGTACAGTTTTTATAATAAGAACATACACCGGAAACTCAATGTTGCTATTTCCGTTTCCATCAGAATCCGCGAAACAAACACGCCCTAATGTTTCTCTTTAAAACTAATTGATATCATGGATTGGAATCTCGAATTCCAATCCCTTTGTTTCACATGAGTGCTGTGTTCCATATTGTTTAATAATGAGATACTGAAATGTGTTTACAGAAGGATAGGCCACAGAGGCGTAGGCCGGGAATGGAAAATCGACTGAAAGACGACCGACGGAGAGACAATGATGGCAGAAATAATGGTGGTGGCGGTGAAAGATTTGATAGGGGGGAGAATCCAGAGTCAATGGACTTTCAGGCCAACAATGATGGTGGTGATGATGACCAGATGTTTGATTCTTATGGTGGACAAGGCCTTCATGCACCATTCCCTTCCGACATTCCTCCACCTCCTGTATTGATGCCTGTACCTGGTGCTGGGTAAGACCTCATCTCCATTTCGTTAAATGCCTTTATTTATTTGTTTATTTAACATTTCTTTCATTTTTTTCTCATACAACATTGTACTTGAAAAATTCCACCCAGTTATACCACTATTATCCTAATATAAAGTCATTTTTACTGCTATAGTTGGGTAGAATTTTTACGTACAATCGTCATTAGAAACAAGTTGATAAAATATAATGCTATAGTTCGGTAGATTTCTCAAAGTACAATGTATTAAATATATATATTTTTTATCAATAGAATATTGTAAGAGAACAAAATAGAAGTAGGATGCTATACTTGAAAATAGGTTAATATTTCTTGTATTTCCAGTTGGTTGCCTGTATTCATTTTATTATTATTTTAAGGAAAGAAGTAAGTAACAACATACTTGGGTTTTTTTTGTTAGCGTGATATAATCACTTTCATTTCTTACTAGTTCACTATTATACTTTAAAAAATCTACCAAATTGGGCAGGGTTTCAAAGTACAATGTCCCAATAAGAAAAAAATGAAAATATAATGCTATAGTTGGGTAGATTATTCAAAGTGCAACGTGTTAGTGTTACTAAGAAAAATCTGACTTCTGACAATACAATGCTGTAATAGGAAGAAGATGCTATAATAAACAAAAATGTCCAAGTGCGTTACTGTTTCTTGCAATAAGTTTTAATCATCATCATCATTCTTATTAAAATTATTATGGTATTATCGTCGTTGTTGCTAGGGTTAGATGCAAGATATAGCAAATGTACTTTCATATATTTTTGTATTATAGCATCTTTACTGTCTATTACAGCAACGTACTTCCATTTTTTTTTCTTATTAAGGCATTGTACTTGGTAAAATCTGCTTAGTTATAGCAATGTAGTTTCAAATATTTTTGTTAATAACACATTGCAGTTTGAAAATCTTCCCAATTATAGCATTAGCACAGAAAATTGTTTTGCATACGGATGATATTGCTATAGTTGGGTTTTTTCAATATATAAGGATGTAATAGGAAGAAATATAAGTAGGAGGAAGTACGTTGCTATTTCATGACCCGTTTTGTTGGTAGTGTGTTTTAACAATCTATATAATCGACAGTCCTTTGGGTCCGTTTGTCCCTGCTCCTCCTGAAGTTGCAATGCGGATGCTGCGGGACCAAGGCGGCCCTTCCCCCTTTGAAGGCGGCGGCGGCGGTGGCGGTAGAAACGGGCGGAGTGGGCCCCAGATGAGCGGTCCAGCCCCTATAATTGCTTTGCCTCCATCTTTCAGACAAGATCCTCGTCGTTTACGAAGGCAAGTTCTTTTATCATAAATAAATTATGTTATGTCCTAAAACATACTTCTCTTGATTTTCTTATCATAGCATCCTACTTTCATTTCTTAAAAAGTTATCTCAAAGTACAGTGTTGTAATAAGAAAAAAATGGGTAGTTATTTCAAATTAGACTTGAATAGGATGGAGTAAATATTGTTAGTCATTTGAAATGTGTGTGCAGCTACCAAGACCTTGATGCGCCAGAAGATGAGGTGACAGTGATAGACTACAGGAGTCTCTAGACCAAAAAGCAAAGCAGCAGATAGTTTGAGTTTCTTAAGATATGATGGATGACAAATGAATTAATGCCATTTGGCAAATCCAACGATGAAGACACAAAGTTTGTATTTTTCGTTTGTTGGTAAACAAAAAAATTTGTAGTGGATATGTAAAATTCGATTTTGCCCCAAACACTTTCCGAGGGAAAAAGAAGAAGATGTTTTTTTTTTTTGGGTTCATTGGATGGTTTATTTTAGGGTTTTTATGGTTATTGATGAATTATATGATAATTTTGATATTTGACACCGATTTCTCTTTGTTGAATTTCAAAACTTGATTTGTTGGGGGTTTCTGAATGGGGTTAAATGCATGCAATCGTGTCTTGGGTTATGTTACTTTTATATGTACTAGTTGTGATACCTGTATATTATACGGGTTGATTAAAACAAAATGTTAAATACAAATGATTAAATGGAAAGTTTATTTGAATTTGAAATTTGAAATAAGTAAAATTATGAAAAAAAAACATGAAAAAATTAAATTAAAATTATGTGTTTAGTTGTCAGACCCGTGTATTAAATGTGTTAATTATAACAAAATGTTAAATACCAAGGTTTCAATTGTAAATTTATTTAAAATTAAAATTGAAGTTTTAAATTCGAAATTTAAAATTTGAAACTAATATAGTTATTATGTTATTATGGTATGTTTAATTTATAGAAACTAAATTAATGATATATTAAAAAATGAAAAATGAATTAAATGACAAGTGGAAAATAAATATCTCAAAATTATGACAAAATGACATGTGGTATAATGATGAGAGAATGACATCTGACAAAATTATTTTCATTTATTAGGTAGGATAAATAATAATAACTATCCTAACATCGAAACAGGACCCAACATATTTATGTTAAAAATATTTGAAGTTTTGGGTTCATGTTTATGCTGTGAATACCTTAAAAAAAGTATAAAACTGATTCGTTTCAATTTTGTTTTGGACCAATTTGTTCGCATTAAAAGTACAAAAAATGTATTTATGATTTTAGACAAAAACATGTATTTGGATATTACTGAAATCCGAAGAATAAATCATTTTTTTTGAGAAAATGTTCGGTTTTTATTGAAATCTATGAAAAAGTTACTTACAGAAGAGACATAAATAGCAAATGCATGCGAAAAGGAGTATGATACAAGATCAATGTGTCAATAAAAACCAAACATAAATTATATCACTGTAATCCAAATTCCAAAATGTCCTTGTCCGAACTTGTGATCATCTATGTAAATAGATAATAGATAAAAGCTGAGTCGTCTTATATATATATATATATATCTTATAATCATATCATATGTCGCCACTTTTTAAGAAAAAACTAGGGAATTAACTATTTTGCTTCAATTTTCAAGATCTAATTTTACAAACAGCCACAAATCTAGCCCAATTTCTTAAGCATTTTTTTTAAGCATTTTTTTACAAACAGCCACAAATCTAGCCCATCTGAGGAAGCAGCAGATGGAGAAGAAGGCGATGGCCCATGGGTTAAGTTAAACATAACAATCAGTTAAAATATAGTGAAAATAACAAATCTAGCCCAATTTCTTAAGCATTTTTTTTTTAAAAATTAACCAAAAAAGTAGAATTTCCACATAATCACCAATTTTGCAGTGTCCATGTGAAAAAAATACCTGAAATAATGTTGTTTCAATTATTTTTTAAAAAAGTTTGTACTGTTCACTACGACTTAAGAAAATAAAAATAAATCATTATTACGAAATTCATGTGCTGTAAAATTGTTCATATTTTGTGAAGTTTTCTTTATGGTACGATTATTCAACTATCATTTCCACAACAAAATAGAGTTTTATATTCTTAAGTTTAGAGAGATTTCACAAAAAATATAGTGTAAAAGAATAAAAATAAAAATATAACCCCCAATGGAGGAATCAATCACATTGGTAAAGTCTATTTCACAGTATGTCCTGCCTGACACGCACCCACAATAGCTTCCATGAACTCATCTTCAAACGAGGATAATGCCACTGTATCTTGCTTCTGGGAGCACCAAGTGATGATAGGTGAGTCACCAATGTAGAAAACATGTCCTGTTGTACTTATGTCATCATCACCATCAACATTATGACTGCTATCACTGTAACCTAGCAATCTTAAATCTTTACTTCATTTGAACATTATCCTAAATGATGTTGTCCCACGTAGATATCAAAGAATTTGCTTAATAACACGTGCATGAGATTCTCGTGGACTTTGCATGTAACGACTAACTACTCCAACCAAATATGCTAAATCTAGACGTGTATGCAAGAGATATCGTAAGCAACCCACTAGTTTTTAATAATGGGTAGTTTCAACTTCAGGTTCATCTTCGCCTTTAAGATTTTTTAGCCCTGGGTCCATTGGACATTGAGTTGCATTACATTCTTGCATGCCTGCTTCTTTTAGAATTTTCATGGCATAACTTTCTTGTTTCACCTTCACACAACCATTTTCTTGCAATACTTCAATACCCAAGTAGCAAGTTAGTTCACCAAGGTCTGACATACACACACTTCTGATGGGTTTTGAGCACTATAACACACCTATGGTGCACATACAACCCTAATGCTTTTGATCTAGGTTTTCTCAAGCTATACATGCAATTTTAATTATCCAAAGCATAAACCCTAACTAGCATACAATTTTGAGATTTACAATATAAAACAAGTTAGATGAATACCTCTTTGTTGTAGCTTGTAGATCTTGGCCTTTTACGAGCTTAGTACCTCAAATGCGATACCTCTAATAAGTCAAAAACATCAAGAACAATGGAGGATTATGAGAGAGAGGCTAGGAGGCACCAAAAATCGGCTAGGGTTTCTTCTTAGAAGCATTGGCCGATTTTGGGAGTGCTAGGGTTTCTATTTATAATGTAGGATCCTTAGGGTTCTAACTTGGAAACCCTAATTCACTTGCTTAGGCCTTAAGCAATCCAATAACCCATATGATAGGCCCTTGGACAAAATCTTCATGGACCCTCACATAGATTTCGTCCATCCCTAATCAATATGGATCATTAGCCCAAACTATAAGTATTACTGATTTACCTAATCAGTCCCTGTTAATTTAATCAGTCTTGTTTGATCACTAAATTAATTCCAAATTAATTCCTAATCAATACCAATTAAATATATGGTTTCTCAATTAATATATTATTCTTATAATATATTAATAAATCACAAATAATCTCTTTCTCGAATATCCATCCTATCAAATTGCTATGGTAAAGGCAACCCAAAAGGACCATGCTACTATCGGGTCAAGTACATACCAATTATAGTTATGGGCTTAGACACCTAATCCAACAGTCTCCCACTTGGATAAGTCTAATAACTATAACTGCCAATGTAACTTCAAATCCGATTAGCAATCGTAGCTCTCAAAAGCCGCTGTCGAACTATGACCTAGTCTATGACGCGTCCTTTAGATAAGGGATCATACAATCCTCTGTCTTCAAGATATCGTGTGTACAAAGACATGGAATAAAGTCATACTCATTGTCCAACTGTTTGTTTCCTGATTTGAACACATCAATTGAGTCCTGACCGGGCCCGACACATAAATCAAAACAAAATCATAAAGGGGCCCAAGATATCGCTTTTAATCCTCTCAGGATAAAAGGAACATATAAACTTCGACTTATATGCTTGTACTAATTACTTGTTAAATTATACACAACAATACGTTTTATAACATCAAGTTACTGATGCGTTTTCGTACTATCAATGCACAATCAAGTAGTAATCAACAACTCATATATCTTGGTTTGAAGACTATACGATATTATCGTCTCACAATCACTCGTGATAAATTCCATGAAGTGATTCATATGAGAGTGGCTTTAATCCAATACTCAAATCCTTATTTCAAGAGCACTCATGAACGTTGCAGCAAACCTTTTCTATGTCTAAACACCTTAGACAATCTACAAGCCAATTCATGACAATCTAACCTCATAGCTTACTTCCAAAGTATGATTAACTGTGGATAGTTTTAATAATCATATTATTCTGGAAGTCAAAACATGCAAAAGTGAAACACAAAATAAATAATTGACAAAAGACAGTAAACTTTACTTATAAATAAAACTCTTATTACTTAATCATCAAATGTCAATTACATTTATTTATTACAAGTTTCTAATTGTTTATCTAATCACTAAAACTAATATCGTCCCTTAGGCCAATGCTCCTAGCATGCTGCAAATGCTTAACCCTACTCATTCCCTTCATAAGGGGATCTGCTGGGTTATCCTCTGACGATACCCTCTTCACTACGAGGAGTCCCTCTTCTACTCGATGTCTTATGAAGTGATATTTTCTGTCGATGTGCCTGGATCTGCCATGATCCCTTAGTTCCTTTGTTAAGGCGACCGCACCCTCGTTATCACAGAAAATCTCCATATGCTCCTTTATAGCTGGTACAACTCCAAGGCCTCCAATGAAGTTCTCTAGCCATATTTCCTCATTCGACGCTTCGCTTGCTGCTATGTACTATGATTCGCACGTTGAATTAGCTACAGTCTCCTACTTGGAAATTTTCCATGTTACTGCTCCTCCATTTAGGGTAAATACCCAGCCCGACTGAGAGCGGAAATTATCTCTGTCGGTCTGAAAGATGGCGTCACTATACCCTGTCACTCTCAAGTTATCACTCCCACCGAGGGTAAGGACCCAGTCCTTAGTCCTTCGTAGGTACTTAAGAATGTTCTTTACTGCTATCCAGTGAGCTCTACCAGGATTCCCTTGATATCGACTAACCATGCTCAAAGAAAAAGCTACATCAGGGCGAGTACATGTCATAGCATACATGATCGAGCCAACGGCGGAAGCATATGATACTCGACTCATTTATGCTATTTCGGCATCAGTACTCGGACTCTGAGTATTACTCAGTTTGGTATTGCTTTGGATAGGCAATTCTCTTTTCTTGGAATTCTCCTTGTTGAAACGTTTCAACACCTTGTCCAAGTAGGTACTTTGACTAAGTCCTATTAGTCTTTTACTCTTATTTCTCAATATCCTTATCCCAAGAATGTAAGCAGCTTCCCCGAGGTCCTTCATAGCGAAACACTTCCCAAGCCAGGACTTAACTTCCTGCAAGGTTGGAACATCGTTTCCTATGAGTAGTATGTCATCCACATACAACACCAGGAAGCTAATTATACTCCCACTAGCCTTGACATATACGCATGACTC